AACTAATACAGTATCAGAATTTTATATAATTATACTTTTCAATCAAAAACAATTAAATTCACTTTATCTTGGAGGCAGAATTTATATGGATGGTATGTATTTTTTACAATAACAAGCTGGAATGAAAACAAACAAAAATGAAATAAAAGTAACGACTTTCTAATTCTTGCCTTTTTTWAAAAAATGTATAATGAATAGAAAGTGCCGATAATTGTGTGAAAATGTAAGGAGTAGAAGTAAAAAGTAGGCTGAAAACATAATTACTCAAGTAAAGTACAGACACCCAAAAATTTCACTTACATACAGTAACAAAGTATTTGTAAGTACTTTACAACTCTGTTAAAAGCACTGTAAAAGCTTATGAGTGCTTGCACAGACTGGCGTAAAATAACATACAATCTGAATTTTTATTTTTTATTTTGCTCTAAATTCTTTATTTTTTAATCTTGTATTTTGTAGGCCTAGTTAACAATGTAATAACTCTAAATAAAATAAGAATGTGAATATTTAGTCAGACTTACATGGTGCAATTTGTTGTTTATGATATAGGCACTACAACATTTTCCTTATGTATAAATTGTTCAAACTATATTTAAAAAAAACACTAAAAGTAAGGTTTTTATTAAAATTCTATGCAATTTTACATGCTCCCAAAAGTAATGGGGAGTCAAGAAAAACTTGAGTCAGTTTTGAACCGCAGGATTTCCTCTCCTAATTCTTTAATCTCCTGTTTTATTTGCCTGTTCCAGTAATAATGTATAGTAAATACATTATATGTATAGTATATATGTAGCAATCAATAAAACCACCGTGTTGAATTCACAGATTTTTTTGTGAACGTGACTAAAAAACAGTAAGAGCTCAAGCCACAGGATGAAGTTTTCTCGCCCTCTATTGTTCAAGAAAAAATATTACATCCTGTGGTAAATGCTTCAAAACGCRGTCTATGGAGGGCGTAGTTCTTCTATCAGTTTTTAAATGTAACTAACATGGTTTTCCATGACTCTAAAACCCCCTGTGCCAGCCCACACCGAGCCCAGACCACTAAGTAAGCACCACTTCCATTTGATATACCATAAGGCTATTGAAAGCAGTATCCACTTCTGTTTGATTAAATTAAAAATGGATGAACAAGAACTACAACTTCTAAAGCATTAAGTAACTTGACCTCTTATAATAAATATAAGGGTACCAAACAGACATTTGACGACTGCTGCTCAGTATCCCTGCAGGAAGTGACAGGCATGAGCCTTTTATATTGTGTCTCCCATGTAGGAGGGGGTGAGCCTGAACTCAGACCGGGGGATCTTCAAAAGCTCTCCCTTTTGACCTATTCGTTTCCACTCAGCTCGGACAGTTGAGCACAGCGGAGCACAGCTAGGACCCCCTCTCTGAACAGCATGGGACTCACTCAGGACCCCAACTTTCAGAAGCTGCAGGACTGGTACACAGCCCACGCTCTGAACCTCAACATGAGACACATGTTTGAGGCAGACAAAGACAGATTCAGCAAGTTCAGGTACGGTTTACAACATTTGCACCTTTTTAAAAAAAAACAAATACAGAACAGGTAGATACTGGATGTGTATGAACTTTGAAAGAGAGGTTCATTTGACAGCCTCGGACATTAAAATGAAAAGTTCTGATGTTCTGCACCACACTCACACAAAATGTCTGCTGTTTTGGTCATTGTTGTTCTGTGTCTGGACAGCCTCACAATGAGCACTGAGGATGGAGACATTCTCCTGGATTATTCCAAGAATCTCATCACAGAGGAAGTCATGAAAATGTTGGTTGACCTGGTAATTTAATTTCCATCTGAATGATCTCTACCATTTTACTTTCTTAATAAGGACTCTGTCCTGTAAGTTCTTTAAACCAGCAGCAAGCATCCATCTTTTATACGCTTCTTTGACAGATTGGTCATTAATCTGGAAAAAAATTATCAAAAGATTTTATCTTATTTTATCAATGAGTGTTTGAATCGGTAGAAATAATGAACTTTGTTCTTCAGGCCAAGTCCCGGGAGATTGAAGCTGCCAGAAAGAAGATGTTCTCTGGAGAGAAGATCAACTTTACTGAGGTGCTCATGGCCTGCAAAACGTCAACCATGACATTTAGTGCAYATGCATTTTTATGACACTGAACACTGAAAAAAAATACAATTAGCGCTGAGGAAAACCATTTAAAAGTTGCCTGAGCTGTTGCTGTGTGTTCTTGAAGGGGCGAGCTGTGCTTCACGTCGCCCTGAGGAACCGCTCCAACACTCCCATCGTGGTCGACGGCAAGGACGTGATGCCAGACGTCAACAAGGTTCTGGAGAAGATGAAGGGCTTCTGTCACGTGAGTTGCAATCAATCCAGAGACCGAAAAATCCACGAACCTTTCGCAAATGTAACAGTTTATGCTTGCTGCAGAGGGTTCGCAGTGGTGAGTGGAAGGGCTACACGGGGAAGGCCATCACGGACGTTGTTAACGTCGGAATCGGAGGATCAGACCTCGTGAGCGTATAAATGAATAAATAGTCCACTAAACCACATGGGATACCGGTTTACCTCTGACTATGATCTGGTTTGAACCCCAGGGTCCTCTGATGGTGACTGAAGCCCTGAAGCCGTACTCGAAGGGTGGACCTCGCGTCTGGTTTGTGTCCAACATTGATGGAACTCACGTTGTCAAAACTCTGGAATCGCTCAATGCTGAGACAACCCTCTTCATTATTGCTTCTAAGGTAGGAGGATCGCCTCAAGAGGATCACTAGAGTAGCGTTGCCTGTAAAAGTTAACAAGCTGTAAGTTATGGAAGCTTCAGCTGATTTGGTTGAATCCTGAGTCAATGTTGTCTACTCTGGCAAAAGTGCAGCTCCAAAAATCAGCTAACACTAACGTTTTGGTGTCTAGAACTGTGCAACACTGTCTTAAGTTTTTCCACTTCCTCCTTCTATTTCAATTCTGCTTGCAGACATTCACCACCCAAGAAACCATCACCAATGCTGAGTCAGCCAAAGCCTGGTTCCTCGAACATGCCAAAGATGTGAGTGAAGTACAGTTTAATCAGCGTTCTTACTGATGTCCTTTTTAATCAATACATGTCTTAACAGAAAGAGGCCGTCGCCAAGCACTTTGTGGCCCTTTCCACAAATGCTGTAAGTGTTATGATTTTCATTAAAGAATCTCAGTTGCGTGTAAACATGTAACCTTACCCTGCTCTTCTCTGTCTGCCATCTCAGCCCAAAGTGAAAGACTTCGGCATCGACACAGAGAACATGTTTGAATTCTGGGACGTGAGTGCCTGTTTGTTTGGTTTTTAAGACTTTCAGCCCGTTCTGTGTGTTGCACGTCCCCCCCGTTTTCATCCACGCGCTGCAGTGAAGGCATGCGAGCAGCTGCTATAAATACACCAGACTTTTGACCTGTGAAGAAGGTGGGACGGACGCTCGGGGGAGCAGCTGTCGGGTAATCAGACGCCCCTCTCTGTAGATTCAGTTATTATTGGGGGGGAGTGACCTTTCCTCTTGCAGAGGTTACGGTAAAGGCTGAGTTGCATCAAAGGTCAGAAAGCTGCTTTTAGTTACATTGTTGGTATTTAAAAGGTTTTTGATACGACCTTAACCTACTTCTTGAAGAGAGCAAAATCTTCCATGTTGAATATTACTCTTTTCTGACAACAGAACAAAAACAGGACTTTTGTTGAAAATACAGTAACAATTACTGATCATAAGCATAAAAATTCAAATTTGTGCATCCAGTTCTCATTTTCCAAAATCGTTAAAGTTGTACTTTGTATAAAGTCATTCCACTGAGTACAAAAGTACTTCTAATGAATTGAAGGTTAAAGAGGACTTATCATACAAAATCCACTTTTTTAGCTGTTAAATGCATTTTGTTGTGTACTTGGAGTCGAGTGCAGACAAGTTGGATTTAGTTTCTMCCAGTGCTGCATGGACAACTTCAGATTCTATT